GGTAATCACATGCCATGTGGTTCACTTCTTACAAGTGGGCAAATAGGTGCAAATGGGGTTGTTGACGTCAGTGGATGTTTACAACAATTTGCTTGCTGATCGAGGCCGAGGCGAAGGCCAAACCTGTGCAAGAAACTTGGCAATTCAATAAGCTAGAATTTTGGTGATGATAAAAATGGAGTCAGTTCTAAGAGAATAAGAGAGCATGTTAGCCAAATGCTTTAGGCAAGGAATTGTTGAATAAGGACTTGAATTCCCACCATAGAACTAAGATAAAATAATTTAAATAATAAATAAAAAAAATCCCATGACATCTAATTCCCATCATTCTTTTCTCAGACCATCTCTAAATGCCCTCAAATGTTTATATTTTTTTTATGCCCCAGTTTAAACTAAAATATATTTATAGTCTGAGACAAACGTGTTTGTTTTCTTTTCAGGAATAACATTTATTTTAAAGCTGTTTATAAATCCATATCTCAAAATATATAGATGCTTATAATTAATTATAATTCTTAATAATGAATTCATTTTAATTGATATTTCATAACTATGGTGTTACCTCACAGCCAAGCCATGATAAAATATTTGTTACTTGTTAGCTACCAGAGACATATGAGCCTCTCATTCATGTTAACGTTTATCCAACAACCTAGAAATATTTTCTCAAAATGCATCAAAACATCAGACAAGAGAAGAAAAATGATACTAAAAATCTATATATATTTTTTTTTTTTTTTTTTTTGTTAAAAACATCTTAAAATGTGATGTGATCACACTCCCTTTTCACAAGTCTGTTACATCAGGAATGGGAAAATGTAGTTACTATTGCCACCTTTCTATTTTATTTTGCTAAAATATGTCATTTGTTCTAATCTTGTTTTGTCTCCTATGTGTGGTAACGAAAACACACAAATATATGACATGACTTAATCTGCCCTCTAATGGCCGAATACACAAACACCAGATGAGACCCAGGCACATTCCTGTTTTGCTAATGTAATCACAATCCCACTTTCCATGGGAACAGAAGAACCATTTTTTGATTCCCAGCAAGTGCAATATCCACAAGCAAGACACAATGTGACATTCTGGCCTGCATGATGGCACACTCAAGACTGCAGAATAATAGTTTTGATTTGAGAAACTGCATCTGTAATAATCAGGTTGTATGTTAACATGTATTTGCCACTGACACATTGGATTTCCATTTTCTGGTTTTATATACAAACCAATGAATGACCAGTAATCATGACAAATGTTGACATTGGCAGAACAGACAGTTTAGGTTCTGTACTCTTATGGCATCCTGTATCAAAAATGTCCTGATCTGATGTCTGTGTTATGAATGGCCAGATGGTGGTAGAGTTGACCAGCAGAGTGAGTCTGACGGGCAGCAGTCCAGTGGAAGCTGTCACTGAAACCACACTACTGTACATTTACAACTCCAAAATTCCTGTTCTCTCTTTAAAAAATGAATCAAATAAAATTTAAATAACATAAAAATATGTTGTGATCATCAAAAATAAAAAAATATAAGCCTATATGATGACTGAATCAACCTGAATACATTTTGTTACTCTAAAAAAGTAATGAATTACATCTTGAACAGTGTAATTAAATGACTGTACTAATTACTCTCTCTCTCAAAAGTATTGGATTATACTTTCTAAATCCTATATCAACTTAAACCAGTTGAATAATGCATGGATTGACATGAACAAAATTCTGAATGTGATTCTAATAATATAGTTCCTTTGTTTGAAAGCCCATTTCTGCCACAGAAGAAAAAAATCATTCTTTGATAAATCATCATTAGAACATTAAAAGTCAGAATTATGACATACTAACTCTTAAGTTAGATATAGTCAAATCTGAGCTGTAAAGTCGTAATTCTAATAAAGTCTGAATTATGAGGTAAAATCATAATAATGAAAAATGTTGAAATTATGAGATAAGTAATAATTATGACTTATGTAATTTTTTGTCCTAATTATGACTTTTTAATTAATAATTTAGACCTTTTGTCATAATTATGACATCTCATTATTGACGTTTTATTTCATAATTATGACTTAGTCAAAATTATGTCACTGAATCATAGATTCAAAAGTCGAAATTCGGACATTCTAAGTAATAATTATAAAATAAAAAGTTATGAAATAAAGTCATAATCATGAGATGTCATAATTATGACAGGTTCTACATTATTATATAAAAGTCAGAATTATGACATAAAAAGTCAAACTTATGAAACACTGACTCATAATTCAGATATAAAGTAAAAATTCTGATCTGTAAAGTCATAATTGTAATAAGAAGTCAAAAGTATGAGTTACAAAGTCAGAATTATGATAAGTAACAATTATAACAAAACTTTGAAATGAGATAAAAGTCTCAATTGTGTTGCCAGTCGACATACTAAGCCATAATTATGACAAGTGTGTTGTAATTATGACATATAATATAATAATTTTGACCTTTTGTCATAATTATGACACCTCATTATTGTGACTTTTTAATTTCACAATTAATACTTTAAAATGTACACTGAATCATAATTAATAGATTAAAAATGTGAATTTCTGACATACTAAGTAGTAAGTTGAAATAATGAAATAAAAAGTCAGAATTATGACAAAATATTCATAATTATGACTTAGTATGTCACAATTGTATCGTAAGACTTGTCATTATTTTGACTTTTTATATCATATTTCAGATGTACCAAAGGATTTTTTTTCTCATGTGGCAGAATTAGGCTGTGTCTTATTAAACTTTACCCCTATAGTTATTGTCTGGCGTGAACTGGTCTTAAGATTCTACAGCGCTGCTATAGTCCTGTGTAACCCGGGATTCTGCATGTTGCCTATATGTGCCATTTAAAGGCAGCTGTTTCTCATAAGTTCATGTGGCTGTGAAGGGCCAGAGACCGCAGATGGGTCGTGACATTACTGACATAATAATGCGTCACAGGAATGCCTGAAAGCAGGACCTCATTAGCCAATAAAAACTCTTTCCATTCGTACCATTTGCATTTGATTCTAATGCAGTATTCAGAGGGGTAAACTAAAATGAATGACAACTACATAAGTGGTTTTTTAAACTGAAATTCAGTCTCCTAAATGGTCCCAACGGACACCAGATCTCATGGTGGCATGCAGTTTTCCAAATGTTATAACCCTTGTATTCGGTTTCAGGGTGTCTTGTCTAAGTGCCCTTGGAAATGATGTGCCCTCGACATAGTTTGGCATCTTCTTGCATTTAGTGCAGCTGGGTCAGGAGATATTCTTAGCAAGTCGACTCCTTGCAGTTCAACACTTGAGCTCCTTGGAGAAACTTAAGAAGGACCCTGAACATGGACGGACCACACAAGCTATTAAATACAGAGCGCCCTGACCTTACATGGAGGGAGTTGAGTGCTCTAGATCCAGAAACAGGAGATGTTGGGTGAGCTGGGTGTGAAAGTGCAAGCCTGAAATGGCTCAGGGTCTCGTATAGTGAGAGTGCTGGGGGTTCCTATGTTGTCTTTGTGGAAAAATGACATGGTAAGGCCCAGTATTATTCTAAGTAACAACAGCTGGGATGATTGAGATGGAGAGTTTATTTTTTCAATCTAAATATTTGCCCAAGTTATACTTAAAAAGTCTCGGGTTTTTACAAAGGGCCCCAGAACAATTGCTTTTACCCATTAATGATACTAAAACAAAGCATACTTATAAACAGGGTATTATATTATATTATATCTTATCTTGTTATATTATATTAATAAGATTACGTTATATTATATTGTTCAGTGGCTCTCAACCAGGGGGCCTCAAGATGACATACAATTATTTCAAATAAATGCAAAAAATAGCCTGTAATTGGACACAGTCGTTACCAGCCTTACTTTGGTAATTCATTCCATGTTTAAAGCATGTCAATTCCATTGTATTACCATCTAATACCACTACAGTACTATGGAGAGTATTTTTATCAAGAAGCATAATTCCATATTAATAACCAGAGGTTACCGCTATCAGTATTTTACATCAATGGTAAGAGTTGTTTCCCTAATGTTTACAAAAGCAGACTGAACTAAGAAAAAATAACTATACCACATAATTGACATGTTTTATTTTTGGGCCATGGTAGTATGGTATTACCATGGTATTCTCAAGGGACCATGGAAATAATATGGTACATGAATATGGTACTGTAATTGATTAGTAGCATTTTATATGAAAATGTACCATTGTATTACCGTACAATACCATAATAACTCATGAAAAATGAGTTTAAATCTTCCTTTATGCCTTTCAGGATCTTTCATCAAGTAAACACATACTGCAGACAAAAATGTAATATTAAATCTGTTTTATGTAGGCAATTGTATTAAAGTTTACATGAAGCCTACAATACCATTCAAAAGTTTGTCTTTTTCTAAAGAATTTAATACTTTTGTTCAGCAAGGATGCATTAAATTAATCAAAAGTGACAGTAAAAAAAAACATTTATAATGTATACATTTCAAATAAATGCTGTTCTTTTGAACTTTCCATTCATCATAGAAACCTGAAAAAAGTGATTTTCCAACAAAATATGGAACTGTTTTCAACATTGATCATATTCAGAAATGTTTTTTGAACATCAAATCAGCATTTTAGAATGATTTCTGAAGGATCATGTGACACTGTCGTCTGGAGTAATGATGCTGAAAATTCAGCTTTGACATCACAGGAATAAATTACATTTGAACATATATTCAGATAGAAAACATTTATTTTAAATGTTAACAAAAGTACTGTATTTTGTATCATAAAATGCAGCCTTGATGAGCATAATAGTCTTCTTTCAAAAACATTTCAAATATTACCGACCCCAAACCTTTGAATAGTAGTGAACATGTGAATGCTATTGGCTGTTCAGGAGAGCAAAAACACAAAGGCATACATGTATACACTAATCTTTAATGCCATGCCATTCAACACTCGGACAATGTACAATGTGCAAAATAGTCCAGGAAAAATACTTTTTATTTGAACGGGAGGCTCACAGGATAGAAAGATGTTTGGCAGAGAAAATGTAAGACATATGGGAGAATAAAAACGATACATCTTAAGCCTCGGACTCAAACATCTTCTTCCTGCCGCCCATACCGGCCTTGTCCTCCACGTTCTTACGCCAGTCGCCGACTTGTTCTACAGACTGTGGAACGCAAAAACATCAGACATGAATACAATGTGCTGAGATGAGGATAAAGCCCAAATACATCACACTTGGAGATGTTCCCACAAAATTAGAAACATGGCCAAACAAAGGAAAGAAACGTGATCATATTTCACCCACCTCCTCTTTGACCTCCTTCTTGACTTGTTTCAGGTTGGCTCTCAGATCCATGGACACCTTGTGTTTGGAGCCCAGAAGAGCCCCAAGCATCTGATCGGCAGACATGCGCACTTTCTTCAACGCGGGTTTCTTGAACTTGCCAATCAGGTCGACCACCTTGAGCTTCAGATCCTCAATCTATATTATATAATAATAAATAACAATTGGAAAAACGAATAAATGGATGAATCACTGATCAAATGATGACACTGAGGTGTCATGGTCTTTACCTCCTTGTTTGCCTTGGAAACCTTTCCCTCCAAGTCGTATCTCTCCTCATCAATGGTGTCGATCTGTTGGTGCAGCTTCTTGCACAGGTCCTGATACATGATATATGATATTGATTATCAAACATACAAAAATGATGCAAGCATTCTATAACCTTCCTGTAGCTCAAACAGTAGAGCATGGTGGTCATTGCTTCAGTTCACAAGCAAAGCACCTAAAAACATGTACATTGAATGCAATGTAACTTTATATAACTTTTAGGTTACACTGGTCTGCTTAAGACTTTCTACTAACTATAAGTAACTTTGCAACTTCATGTCAACTACCAGTCATTAGAGTATTATAAGTGGACTGTTAGGTGTTAGGCTGACGTACTATAAAGTTACTTACTTTATTTCGATAGTCCCCTTTAGACATTCTGTTGACTATACATGTGTTACCAACTTTTATATATTAACAATATTAATATAAAATTAAGTAATTATATTTAATAAATGTGTATTAATATGGGGTCACTTAATTACATATGATCTAATTATATATGAAAGTATGGTCATATATATACATGAACCAACAATAAACAATACTTTTTTTTAATAAACAAAACTGCATTTCTTAGTCCAGTAAATACTAGACTAAAACCAATATTTGCTAAAACATTTTAATATCAAAAGTTTATCATTAGTTAATGCACTGTGAACTAACATGAGCATACATTTTAACTAACATTAACAAAGGGTTAATGAATGCTAAAAAGATACAGTGTGAAAAAAATAATGTTTTTTATAGTTAATGCATATATATATATATATATATATATATTTATTTATTGTGACCTCATATTATTATATAATCACATATAGTTAGATCATTTAAAATTAATTGACCTCATATTAATATACATGTATTAAATATAATTACCTAATTTTATATTAATATAATTGTTTATATATGAGTTGGTAACACTTTATTTTGATGGTCCAGACATTCTGTTGACTATAAGTAACTTTTTAAATAACTAATAAATTAAGAGTTAGTTATTTATAATGTAAAATTGCAATATGTATGATATATAATTACAAATGTAATAGATAATACAAAATACTAATACAGTAATATTGCAAAAACTGTTATAGTATTGATATGATGATAAAAAAATAATTATTGCTTAAATATTGTATAACAATATTCATAAACTGTAGAGAAAAAGAAAAGTTGCTGCATTTTTTAACTACAATCAACTTGAATGTTTAAGTCATTTCAACTTAAATAAACTGACTTAGTTGAATCTTGAATAACTTATAAAAAAAAAGTTGAAAATTGCTTAACTTATTTTGATGAGTTAAAGCAATGCAAAAACATAGTTTGTCATCAATTATTGATCATATAGTTTTTACAGGTGAAACTAGCATTAACGTGGTCACCTGCAGCTCTTGCTGGGATCCAGGCAGATTCAGAGCAGGGCAGTGTTCACTCATGTACGTCTCCTTATCAATAACAACCTGCTTGGCTTCAGCGTCCAGGAGATTGAAGGCGATGGAGAGCACCAGGCTCTGAGGGGTTAGAGGAAGAGAAATCAACAATACGCTTTACAAAACATTTTTTTTTTAAAACAAGTGTTTTATGAAATGACAGTAAAATTGTCTAACCTTCAAATGGTGCCTACGGCTGGAGGTCATCTTTTTTCTGTTTATGAAAACAAGTTCACCATGAGTATCAAACGGAGCTGTACTTACTCAGAGCGCAAGGGATTCTATTATAAACTATTCTATTCAAAACAAACATAACTTCATTTAAAAGTACACATATGTAGTCTATAAGGTTTTACACTATGTAAAATGTTATTCTAAACCAATAAAGAACCCGCTGCAATTAGGATTAGAATACTTACTCTGACATCTTGGTGGTTTAGTGTGTTTTCACCCTGGATTGGATAGAAATTACTCATTAGATATTGGCAATGTTGTTAATTGGCTAATCCAAGACAAGCAATTCTATGCGGTTTTAAACTGGTAAAGTTTGGTAAGAAATGAAATTCAATCAGGGACACTGAGTCTGTAAGTTTAGCTCAACATACTGAGATGCTTGAGTCACATTTGACACGACTTCAAAAGGTCATAAACATGATACCAGCGATCAGCTGCTGTATTCAGAGGCGATAAGACAAATGCGATTAAAGATTATACCATTTTATTCACTGTTAAAAAAGTTACTAGCTGAAATTAAGTACAATCAACTTGGATGTTTAAGTCATTTCAACTTAAATTACATTAAACTGACTTAAAAAGTTGAATTAGAGTTCAACTCTAACTCTAATCTTTTGAAAAAGTTGAAAATTGCTTAACTTTTTTTGAAGATGTTGTCATAATGTATTGATCTATCATTTTAATTATAAAAATATATATTGTATCAATAACAACTACAGTCAAACTCGTGTGATTTAAACAGAATAAACTGTCATATCAATTAGAGCATATTAAAATAGAACATTTAAATGAATATTTAAGTTTTTGAGAAAATAAATAAATAAATTGTATTGCTGTTAAATATTGTTTCCTTTAAATATATACATTTCAAGTTCATATAAATTCTCTATATATCATTAATACAGATTATGTATACTTTATCAGGTAATTCATAACTACATTTAAAAGCACACTTATCAACATATTCTATGTACTCATGAATATTAAAATACTATATGTGTCTGGACATATGGATGTAAAAATCAAGCACTTAGAGCGCAGTATGTCTCTAAACAACAGGAAAGATTCATCAGTAACGTAATTGTTTTAGTAGATAAATAGTATCTAAATCTATGCACAAATGTTTGCATTCAAAGATGTGCCTTTGTCCTTTACGTACAGATCTACAGAGAGTTCTGGAATGACGCTCACCTAATGAGAAGAAGAGGAACACTTGGAGGAAGAACTGGAAAGACTGGTGAGCCTCAGAGAGAGAAAAGTTAAATAGGATATATATGTTGGACTCTGATGGGTCAGCAGATCTTGGGAGTCCTGTTTATGGAAGTGCGTTCCAGCCTAGACCAATAAGCCGCTGAGCTCCTGAAATATCCCGAGCCCATCCTCGGCATGACAAAATTTCCCTTCCTTCAAGACGCATACGCGTGTGTGCTGTAAAACGGAAGCAATGCGTAATACACCAAGATGCATAACATATCTGACAGAACAAATAAAGGGTTACATATCAAAATAATAAGAGATATTTCAGCAAAAAAAAGTATTTTAAGTTACTCACCATACAGCAAAAGAGGAGATCTCCATAAATGTGAATTGAAATGCCACCCATATTTCTTCTGGAAGTTTGTGTACCGACCAAATTAAATTTCATTAAATTAAAATTTAATTTAATTAAAGGAATACATATAGAGCAATGAAACTGATAAAAAAAAGCAGCATACAGTAGCACTATAGTATTTATTCATTACAGTCAAAACAAATCACTAGTCAAAGAGTGTAAGGGAGTGAAAGAACCAAAACATGTGTAATAAAACAAACAAAAAAGGGATTTTCCTCCAAAGCATTCATTTAATGGTCGTGGCTCAGCGATGATACACAATTCTCTTTCAGGACATATACATACTACATGAAACAAATGCTGATTTGAGGCATTGAAACTATGGCAAAAAAAAGATAAATGATTGCATAGCACTGACAAATTCCTAAAATAATTAAACAAAGAAATGTCTAGGAATTTAGGCCTCGCCCTCAAACATCTTCTTCCTGCCGCCCATACCGGCCTTGTCCTCAACGTTCTTACGCCAGTCGCCGACATCTGAAGTCTGGATTATGAGAGAGGAATTGAGTGTGAAGGAATGGTAGTTCAATTAACCAAAGGCCTGTATACTGTGTACATATCAGGGCTGTCAACGTTAATGCGTTTAAGCATGCAATTACCGTAATTAAAAATTATGCATTACCGCATTAAAATAATTATGTGGTAACCTTGGTAGCACGCACAGTTGACGCATTAACGTCACGCAATTAGATGATCTTAGAAGTCAGGAGTTTTTCAGACCGACTCTGAGGATCTACAATGGCACAATAACCTGTAACCCTCGTAGGCGGAAATTTCTATTCTAACCCTTTAACCCGATTTCGCTTCTCTGTCTGCGATCAGATCATTTTAGGCCATTAAGAAAGTTTTCAGTCCAATTATCCAATTAGCGAATGCATTGAACAATCAGCACTAATGTAAAGAAAACCAGGCTGATTACATCAAAGATGGCAGAGAGAAAAGAGACTCAGTGAATTATTCATTCCAGTGTCTGTTTAGGTTTAAAACACACGTTTTTTTTTTTTTTTTTTTACATGAGCTCTGTCATATTCTGTAATTGTGTCTGAAGAGCGTCATCTCCATGTGGTTCTGTTCAGTATTGCAACTTGACATCTCTAAAACGTAAACAAGCTCTTTGCTGTTGCACTGTACACATACTGTACGCTGAACTCTAAAAAGTTTTGTTCTGTAACTTTTTTTTTTCTTTCGTGTGTGCTTTGGTGTGCATACATTTATGAATTATATGGACATTTTATATCGTTTGGTTATTAGGTGTCCTTTTGGAGTCTCCAAAAGTGCCCTTTTTGGAAAGACGCCTACATTTACCATGAAAAAAGCTTGCAGAAAATTCAGTTTTGTGAAAATCATCCTTCAATCGCATAGTTTACTTTGCTGGATATAGCAAATGATGAGAAAACGAACACGTTAAACAAGATTAATCGCGATTAAAATCTTAATCTATTGACAGCCATAAAATTACCTTCTGTAGAGCTGCTTTACAGCTTAAATTGAATTTGTTTCATAATTGATGAATTTTACAACATTACTGTAAGTTTCCTGTTTATTAATGTAAAGCTGCTTTGAAACAATCTGTATTGTATAAAAAAAATGTTTTACTTGTATATATAAATGTGACTTGACATATAAACCAAAGGAAGACACACAAAAATGTATTATTAACTACTTACTGATTTTCAATATCAATAAACATGTTTATTAAAGCAGTAAATCATGACAGCAACATCTGGGCCGTGTTGAATCCAGATGTACCAGATGTGGCCCGGATCTGGGCCGACACTATGTTGCTGTCGGGGACGTAAGCATGATTTTTGCCATGGTTAGCGGTTGATAACAGCCTCTAATGGCTTATTTGTTCTAATAATAAATATTATTTTTGATCATATTTATGTGATAAGTGATACAAATATTTATATTATTGTTTAAATGCTCACCTATGCTACAAGCAATGAGCGACTTGAGGCCAGTTAGGGGGATTTACCCATGGTAAAATCACTGTAATGCACGGCCTCTCATGGCTTATGGCATTATTATTTCTGTCAGGACCACTATCGTCAAATACAATTGACAATTAGCATACAGTAAGAGCAGGGAGAGCAGCAATAACCCCCCTTAGGGTCAACAGAACAGAACCAACATGAATGTATTGCAGATATCATTAATTCAAGATTTTAAAGTACAACATAATTCGAGAAGGTATTCTGATTCAAGGGGAATCAGAATGCCATACTCACTGACGAGAGGAGGAGCTATTCACATCTCCTCTGTATAACCATTCACTCACCTCCTCTTTGACCTCCTTCTTGACTTGTTTCAGGTTGGCTCTCAGATCCAGAGACACCTTGTGTTTGGAGCCCAGAAGAGCCCCAAGCATCTGATCGGCAGACATGCGCACTTTCTTCAACGCTGGTTTCTTGAACTTGCCAATGAGGTCGACCACCTTGATCTTCAGATCTTCAATCTATACACACATTAGACTAGACTCAAAACGGACCTCAGAGAACCCAATATATAGACTCAACAGAAACATCATCATCATCATCATAAGGTATGTTTGAGTATTTAGTTTATAAGTTACCTCTTTATCTGCCTTGCCCACTTTGCTCTGCAAGTCATATCTCTCCTCATCAACCGTGTCGATCTGATGGTGAAGTTTCTTGCACAGTTCCTGAATGGCGACATTGAAAGAGTCAAGCTCTCTTTTCTAACCATCTTTTGCATCATAATGTTTCAAGAGTATGCAATATAACTTTTATCATCCCTAACCGCATATACATCACTGAGACATCAGTGGAACATCTGGACAGCACTACATACTAAGAACATATTTGTTCGTTCGCAACCATAAATGTCAAGAAAATTTTTTTTTGAATGCCATTCTAATATCCAAAAGAGAAGATTGTATTCAAAACAATACATAGAGCCTACATCACACCTTATAGGAGATTCCAGATGAAATTACAACCTACTCACAACTGTCATATATGTAACACTGCTTCACCTGGAACGTTTTTACACATGTTTTGGGAGTGTCCAGTTATCTCTAACTTCTGGTTGCATGTAAACTCATCCTTAGCGGATATACTTGACATTTTTTATGTTCCTAATCCTGGTTTCTGTCTTCTTAATGATAATTCTGATATAAATCTAAAGCAAATTCAGTTCAAAATGTTGTTCGCAGGGTTTACCTCTGCAAAGAAAACAATTTTGAAAAACTGGTTCTTTCCGGATATGTGTATGGAATCATTCTGGATCCATAGCCTTGTCAACATTGTCAACCTTGAACATACAACTGCATGACTCAATAAGGCGCAACCAGCGACTGTACAAGCTTGGAACTCTTTCTCATCTAGGATTATTTCTTGGTCCAGGGACAACAGCTAGGCAATCTTTGATGTGAACTCTACCTGCCAAACATATTTCTGTTGTTTTATGTACTGTCTTATCATATGTATTGTCTCACTCATCCATTCACTACCATTGTGATGTTTTTTTTTTCTTTCTTTCTTTTCTTTATTTTCTTTTTCATTATATAGTCACATATGATTTTGGAGATGTCTGTAACCCCCCCTCCCCCCTCCCCCCTCCCCGGAAAACAATAAAAATGTTGATCACAAAAAAAAAAAAAGAGAAGATTGTAGCGAAATCTAAATAAATTCCATTGGTTTTCTTGAAGTATCTAAATAACATGATGAGTACATCAATGTTTATGTTATATTAATTTTATTATTATATTATAAAAAGCCACGGTAACACTTTACTTGAAGGGGTGTGCATAAGACTAACATGACACCTTCATAATCATGACATGACACATGTTATGAATATGAAGGAAGTTGTATGCATGTTTATGACAACTGTCATTAAGTGTCATTCGCTCAGTAATGACATTTTTAATGCAAATACGACATTGTTTGAGATGTCTTTGTTATGACACCTTGACATAAACAAATACATCATAACCTGTCAGTGTCTTTGTCATGACAATTTGACATTACTAAGACAACACAACCTGTCATAAACATGAGCTAGCAGATTAAATATCAAACTTAAGAAACCACTTAGCTTTATTGGTTAACATTACATTAAACTGTCAGGTGGTTGGTTTTGACATTGGCTGTCATGAAGCCATTATAACTTTTTAATGACAAATTCAATTTGTACCACTGTAGTTGAGGTCACGAAAAATATTCATGACAGTTATAATGGCCTCATGACAGCCAATGTCAAAACCAACCACAGTTTAATTTAATTTAATGTCATGTTGTCATGACAAATACACTGACAGGTTATGTTGTTATGGTTTATGTCAAGATGTCATAACAAAGACATCTTAAACAATGTCACATTTGCATTCAAAATGTCATTATTGAGCGAAAGACACTTAATGACAGTTGTCATAAACATGCATAAACACTTTACCTTCAAGTAAAGTGTTACCAATATTTCAAATGCCATTCTAACATTCAAAACATTTTAGTAAAAATCGAAATATATTCCATTGGTTTTCCAGATGCGTCTATGGTTTTCTTGAAGTATTTTCTTGAAGGAAGTGCTGTGTAAATACCATGATTGCATCAGTTGTTTTATTTTATTTTATTAATATTATAGTTTTTACTAAAATTGCAAATTACTTTAAAAAAAAAAAATTGAAATGCAAATTACTTTTTGTTTTAGTAAACGTTTTTAAGTTTTAAGTTTTAGTAAATTTGTTGTTTTGTAATTTTTCAACAGAAAAAAAAGTTTCTATAACTTTTTATTTCAGTCTTAGTTTTAATTATTTTAGAATTCAAATGTCGCATTGACTACTACCTGAAATAATATATATCAGTTCCCTTTTAGTCGCTCACGTTCGACGTGACGACGTTAGGGGATCACTTCAGGGAGCCCTATCAACTTTGAGTATCTAAAGAACAAGCCAATGAACGTTGGCGTGCGTGAACGCGTCACGCGCCCCCGACCCGCAGCGCGGGTATAAAACAAGAAGCGGGCGCGCGCACACACTGTCTTTCACTTCGGAGCCGAGTTTCTGTGAGACTTCTGTCTAAAAGAATTCAGCGCTTTGAAGACTTCAATGGAGATCTCTCTGCCTGCAGTGTCGGTGTGACGGCGCGATCAGCGGTGGCCGCGAGCAGTGCAGCTCTCAACTGCTGTTCTCACAGCACTATTGTTTGTGTCTGTGTGTGTGTGTCGTTCCTGTGTGTGTGCATTCACACTGTGGCTACCCCTGGGCGCCTCAGCACTGTGAGAGTATTTTTCCATCCTTTTTTTTATTTGATTAGAAGAGCAACACAAGCGTCTTTTTCAAGATGTCATTCCGCTTGTGCGTTTCTGGATGTCGTTGTTCCCTGGCGCCAGCAGATGGCCACAATAGTTGCATCTCGTGTTTGGGCATTCAACACGCTGAAGCAGCTTTTGTGGATAGTTCATGTTCCCATTGCGGGAATATGACTATCGCAGCACTCGCTTACCTCAAGGGAGGTGCAGTCCCCTCGCCTATGCCCCGATCTAGTGCTTATTCTGCCCCGCAGAATAGGCCTACTTCAGCGCATGGCCAGGGTGATCTGAGAATCACCGTGAGGGCTTCCCCGTCGAGGCAATCTCCGCGGCCCCTCACGCCTCTCATGTGCTGTTGCCATCGGCGCCCCTTTGCGAACGGCTCGGTCCTTCTCCGGAACGACCGGTCGTTTCCTTTGGGGCGCCAGCTGACGATCAGATGTCGATCGCAGCATCGGAGGGGGAGCTTCAGTCCTCTGGAGATGACGACTCGGCTGCGTTGCCCCCTTCGGGGTGTGTAGCGTTGTCCGAGCCTGATCCAGAATGGGCGGGTATGCTTTCCCGGGCCGCCGAGAAGGTCGGGCTTGCGTGGAATCCTCCACCACCTCCCGAACCTTCTCGGTTCTACGACGTCACGTCGAACGTGTGCGACTGAAAGGGAACGTCTCGGTTACTGATGTAACCCTCGTTCCCTTAAGGAGACGTGACGTCCTGCCGCCACAGTTGCTGACCATCGCTCTACGGCCGTCACTATCTCGGCTCCTCAGCGAAAAACAGTGTGTGTGTGCGCCCGCTTCCTGTTTTATACCCGCGCTGCGCGTTCACGCACGCCAACGTTCATTGGCTTGTTCTTTAGATACTCGAAGTTGATAGGGCTCCCTGAAGTGATCCCCTAACCACGTCTCCCGTTCCCTCCTTCAGGGAACAAGGGTTACATCAGTAACCGAGACGTTTTAGGTAATGATAATAACCCTGAAGTTCATGAGTATGGTAATGTTATAATAATATATTCATCGAATTACTATTTTTGTAAAGAATGTACTTAAAAATTCTGTCTTCCAAATGAAAACATAAACAAAAAACATCTAAGTGATGTACATGTGCTATGAGAGAACGAAAATCATATTTTCTGTAGTTTCAAGGACTTTTAACTCATTTGGTGAAAGTGGTGACAGACCTGCAGTTCCGCTGTAGATGAGGGCATGGACAGAGGAGGGCAGGTTTCTGCCATGTAATTCTCCCTATCTACAATTACTTGAGCGGCTTCTTTATCCATAAGGCCCTTTGCAATGCTAAGCAACAAACTCTGTAGGGCAAATACATCAGTTAGACCCTGAATTTTCATGCTATAAATCAATAAATATTTTATAATATTATATAACATCAAAAGCATCTGTGCATTCATTACTCTACCTTGAGATGGTGCCTGCGGCTCGATGTCATCTTTTTGCTGTGATGGATGATTAAGGAATTACAATTGAACAAAACAAGAAATAGATTCCCATTTCTTTAATATGAAATAAATCAAATAAATAACAGATATATTCATATACTCACTCAGACATGTTGGCCCCTTGTTTTCTTCACCCCTGTACAGAGTGCAAAACAGAGCAAAAAAAAATGTAAAGACATTTTTAGAGAGATGAAACAACTTTTATATATTTACCTTTTGATATACAATATTTAATCTTGATTAATTCAAAGGTTCTTATGTGATATATGCATTAAGAGAGATTGTGTCGTATAGAGTGGGCTATATTTTCTGCATTATAATTTGAAACCAGCACTTGGAAATGTCTTGCGATCCAGAGGGAGGCGTGTGAATTTCCCCCTCTGATATCCAGTATCTCAGTCTCCCTGCTTCTGGAACAATCTATGCATATGCCAACAATACAACTACTCTGACCCTGTCTGCCGACAGCTGTATAAATCACACAGATCCTGTTTTGCAGTATTCGGATGTCATGCATATTTATAGGAGATCCCCTCAAAGCTTATGGTGGTTCGACAGAGATATTTAAGGGACGGTTTATTTTATTTTCTTTCTTTCTTTTTTTTGTCCAAATTATTTTTTTTATACTATTTAAGAGTTAGTTCATCCAAAAATGGTGTCATCATTTACTCACTCTCATGTTGTTCTAAACCTGTATGAGTTTCTTTCCTCTTTTGAATATAAAGGAAGATTTTGAAGAATGTTTGTTAACCAAACAGTTTCTGGTCCCCATTGACTTCCATAGTGTTATTTTCTAAACCATGGAAGTCAATGGTATAGCAACCCACAATATATGTTGAAAATATCTCCTTTTGTGCTCAGCACAAGAAATGAATACAGGTTTGGAACAACTTGAGGTTGAGTAAATGATGACAGAATTTTCAACTATTCCTTTAATGGTATAAACCATAAATCCATTAGAAATACAGTTCTGTCATCACATGAGTTGCATTTCAGCATACATATTCATGATCATAAAGTCATATAAAATGTCATGTTTGTGCCAAGCTCATTTTGGCAGTCCAACACGCATTGCAAGAGACTCAACTAGCATATAATTCAGTAACAAGAAAATAAAATATTTAATGCATGCGAATTTAGAATTAAATAATCTGTGCACAATACTCATATAAATTAATTGAAAAAATAATGCAAAAATAATCACTTAATAAAATAAAAATATTTGATATTCCTGGTTATTTTATAGTTCCAAATCACTGTAATCTGCTTACAGAAATACGTTTGTCATCCTAAAAATGCAATCCAAAGCATAAGTTCAGTAAATTCCAAGTGAATAACACCTCAAGCATCTTTGGATGAGACAAAAATGGAATCAAACCATGAATAGGTAGACATTGTCCTCACCTGTATGAGAAAGTTAAGCAGCGGCTCAGCCCTGAAAGAAGAATGTCTGAAGGAAGCAGACCACTAGCAGCAGGACTACACTTAAGGACGGTATATAAACCTGGCGTCATCATTCGTCTCCCCTCTTTATGGTAAGGTACTAACCACAGTTGGTTTGCCAGCCTCTTGAAATATCCAGTTCAAATGTACGCCAATCACACTGCTTAAAATAGACTATTGGAGAAGACAAATTTCCAGATGTCAGGATAATGAAACTAACAAGAAGAATTAGGTCAAGGCAGTTGTTGAATATGATCTGATAAAGGCTGCCAGGAGTCGTTCATCTAACAAATTAATTGATTAACATGCAGGGTGTTGGAGAATAACACTTATTTTTGTGTTTGTGTCTTTCCTTTTTTGGTTATAACTAAGAAAAACGTTTTTTTTTTTTTTTTTTTTTTTTTTGATAAGGCAAGCTGCCATTTCTGCCTTGCAATGATCAAGTTTCTCATACGTTTAATTAATAGAAACAACTAATTTATTGTGTTTTAGTGAGGTGCTCCCCCCACTGCTTTGACCTAACATGATCCTCTAGGTTGCAAAGTCAGCAGTGCTTACTAATAAACATAAGATCATTTACAAATACTTACTCAGTTGTTAGTAGTGTACTATTTACAGAAACTTCTAAGACTGCTTCTGTTGGTCATAGAGATGCTACTACCGTTTAAATCAATTCCAACAGGATATGATGTACATTATGTAATGTTTTATGCTCTTATTTTCATCAAATTACAATTATGAGTTATTTTCAGTTGAGAAAGATTCTCCACAACCTTAGTCAGATGATTTAGATGACATAATAGCATGTTCATTAGACTCTACAGCTAACAAATCTGGTTTCAAGAAACAGAAATAAAGACTTTTTCTATGTACACAAAATACCTATTTCTCTCAAATATTGTTCACAAATCTGTCTAAATCTGTGTTAGTGAGCACTTCTCCTTTGCCGAGATAATCCGTCCACCTCACAGGTGTGGCATATCAAGATGCTGATTAGACAGCATGATTATTGCACAGGTGTGCCTTAGGCTAGCCACAATAAAACTCTAAAATGTGACGTTTTATCACACAGCACAATGCCACAGATGTCGCAAGTTTTGAGGGAGCGTGCAATTGGCATGCTGACTGCAGGAATGTCCACCAGAGCTGTTGCCCATGAATTGAATGTTCATTTCTCTACCATAAGCCTCTAGAAAAAGTCTTAGATCTTCGAGTTCAGCTCATGAAAAAGGGGGGCAAAAACAAAAATGTTGCGTTTATAATTTTGTTCAGTGTAATTTTCCTTCTAAACCAGTTAAAATGACTTGGTTTTCTGTTTAGCTTAACCAAATTCAATTTTTTTTTTTGTCTGTTCTTTATTTAATTCTATATTTAATTTCTTACATTGTGCATGCAGAACATTATACATGATTTAGCATATAGGGCAATTTAACATCTATAGATTGTTTGTTTTGTTCCGAAACTGGGACTTAATTTGTTACAATGTTGCATTTTCTTCTTGGTTCGGTTTGCTTTCACAAGGCAACCTTTCAGTTCGTACAAAAACATGTGTTTGTGCAAGTCACATGCTGGTACAACTGTTCTCTTATTGGTCGGAGTATCCTCTGCATCATCCATCAAGATGATTGACAAGTTCACTCCATGAGCTTATTGTGGCTTTATTTGTAACACACGCAAACACTATACGAATGTAGTCGTCATTCCCACTCTTAAATTATATACTTCATTCGTATTAATACTACAGCAAATTCAAACACGCTCTCTCTGGATTTCCCAGCGCTGTCTAGAGGTTAACAGTGTCGAGACACACGCAAACAATATAGCAATGTTATAATGCAGCTAGAGCAGGAATCAAGGCTTTAAAGCACAATTACACAACATTTTAAGATGAAGAGCGGCTCTTTTGGTTTTCAACTGTGATAACTAATGTGCTCACTCACAAAATCAGACACTACTGCTATTTATATAGCAGATTTCCAATGATGAATTATAATACCATTTGGTTCGTTGGTCTGTTGGGTCAGATTGCTTTCACACCTCAAGTGAACCGCCCAAGAGTTCATTTGCAATCGAGCCGAGACCACCTCGTTCAGGCGATCTCGGAGCGATTGTTTTGGTGCGGATCTGAGCCCAATTACAATGTTCACATATGCCTAACTGAACCGAACCAAGGGAGAAAACGCACCAGGTTCTGAAACAAACGCTCAGTGAAAACAAAAAAGGCTTTCACTCTGATTTGTTTTGGAACCTGGTGCGTTTTCTCCCTTGGTTCGGTTCGCTTGAGGTGTGAAAGCAATCCGACCCAACGGACCAATGAACCAAATGGTATTATAATTCATAACTGGAAATGTGCTATATAAATAGCAGTAGTGTCTGATTTTGTGAGTGAGCACATTAAAACAGTTATCACAGTTCACAGTTATCACAGTTGAACACCAAAAGAGCCGTTCTTCTTCTTAAAATGTTGTGTAATTGAAGCCTTGATTCCTGCTCGTCGCTGCATTATAACATTCCTATATAGTTTGCGTGTGTCTTGACTCTGTTAACCTCTAGACAGCGCTGAGAGATCCAGAGAGAGCTTGTTTGAATTTGCTGTATTAATACAAATAAAGTATATAATTTTACAGCGGTAATGATGGCTACATTCGTATAGTGTTTGCATGTGTCTCGACAGTTACAAATAAAGCCACAATAAGCTCATGGAGTGAACTTTTCAATCATCTTGATGGATGATGAAGAGGAAACTCTGACCAATAAGAGGACAGTTGTACTCGCATGTGATTTGCATAAACACATTTTGGTACACTTTGAAAGGTTGCCTTGTGAAAGCCAACCGAACCAAGAAGAAAATCCAACATTGTAACAAATTAAGTCCCTGTTTTGGAACAAACCAAACAATCTATAGGTCTGTACATTTATTAAAGGCATAATATATTAATTAAATGTATTTGATGACAGTGATGTCTAATACAAAAATTCCCAAAAAGTATATGGATGTAAACCTGAATCCAATTTTTCAACCAAAAAAAAAAAAAAAATGGCTGAATAGCTAATTGGCTATTGGTTGGTGTTACCCAAGACCCATACTTCCTACCCGACATCAGTGAAGAAGGAAAGTCATTTCAGAGGGAGAGCAAGCTGATTTTTTGTAAATAATTAATTGTGTAGAAAAGTAGAATTTTCTTGAATACTTTGCCTAAAAACAAGTTAGCTCTGAATACATTTCAAATCACAGACAAATAGCAGTAGTCTCACTGAACTTACCATCAGGTTCGAGGTGTCTTACAGAACTTCGCGTTCAATAGAAGAGGAAACGAGGTCAATTTGGACCAGTTCCACTGGTGAATTTCTCCGACCATCATCAGCTCTGTAAAAGTAACAATAACAGAATCAAACAGAAGCTGAGGCATCTAGACAGCACATAGCTCTGTTAACTGTTAAAATAAGTTTAACATATTTCATGTCTAATATGATAAACAGTCATGTAAGTATCTGCTTTATTCTGCAAGGGGCAGGTCGCCCTCTCATGGAGGCTGCCATGTTGAGATCACATGACCAGCTGAATACTACTCACTTCATCTTTATCACTAACTTTAAACTTTTGCTCGAAACTGCATTAGTCTCGGCCTCAGGCGTCACGCTCACGGACCGCTGGCTGAACGAACGTCTGATGCATAAAGCACACTAAATGGGAAACACTTTGGGAGTTTTGAAGTCACCATTCTATTGGTTGAATTCTAATTTCTACAGGATTTCCTGGAGAAATCTGTGTCCCGTTCTTTAATGGTCTGTCTGGAAACAAAACCATCGTGACGCCAAACCCCCTCATGGAAGAAGAAAGCCGTCATGTTTACAGCTGTGACAATGAGCGCTTATCAGGGTCAATTAAATGCAAAAGTATGTAAAGTCTGCGGCATAGACTCTTTAAACGACGTTTACACACCAGTCTGTTATTGTGGGGACATTGACTTTAGATTTTCGCGCCCCTAAACATGACGCTGAATCAGTGTTAATTTCGTTTAACGACATTTTGTTCATAGACGAAAACAAGACGATAACTAAATAAAAACCAGTTTTGAATGAAACACTATGACGGAAATCTATTGACATTTCCGTCAACAAATAAAAATTGTTAGGTAGGGACGATTTGGGAAGAGATCCAGTCAGAACTGATGTCCTGCGTGTGTGGTAGACACGCTGAACACGCTGATCTACCCGGCGCGACATGAGTTGACATGCGCTTGATGCATGTCTCATAAAACGTTCAAAAATGTTAACGTCTGGGAGAAAGAGAAGAGCAGAATGCATATATCATTTATTGAAAAGAAGTCTGTGTTCTACTTTTGGAGAAGTGGTTTTATTTCATTTTAAGATTTCTTTTTTTATCTACAGCAGTTAAATTGCATTGTATTTTGTCGACTAAAACTAAAACAATTCAGATGACTAAAATATGACACAAATAGATGACTAAAGGCTATGACTAAAACTAAATCAAAATTTGCTGTCAAAATTAACACTGCGCTGAACAAAACAAACTGGGATTGGTTGCTTTACAAGTCAGTGAGGTGGTCTCTTGGGTGGTCCTTGGCCAATGGAGCCATCAGTCTGAAGTTCTGGCTACACGAGACTAAAACTGCGTCCACGTCAGCAGATGGCAGTATAAAGTCCAAGACAATTGTCCACAACCAATAGTGTCCAAACAGCAAGTGAAATATACTTATATAGGCTATGCTTTATGCAACAACAAGAATACTAAAATTGACACATTTCACATTGGCTACAGTATCAAATTGATTGCAAGAAATAGTAGTCAGTATCCTGTTTTATTAATTGCATGTTATGTACAATTATGCATAACACACTGTCATGTAAATCTAGTTTGAAGATTCAGATTACCTGCAGTTCCCACCATGACCAGTAGATGTCGCTAGAGACTTCTGGAACTCTCCATCCAGCTCTCTTCCTGTCTGATTACGTTCATCATTAATCCCTGATAAGAAGAATCAAAGGCTATGTTACAAAAAAAAGATAAAGGCCTGGTTTCACAGACAGGGCTTAGATTAAGCCAAGATTAGGCCTTAGTTCAATTAGGACATTTAAATAGCTTTTTTAAATGTGCCTTGGAAAAAAATCTCTATACAAATCTCTATACAAAACAATTGCACTGACATATTTTAAGATTTGTCAGTGCAAGTTGCTTTCAGTTAAAACAGCTCAAACATGAATTTTAGTCTGGGACTAAGCCTTGTCTGTGAAACCGGGAGTAAAGGTTAGGTTGACATGTATCTCTGCCTCTCCACCTCTATGTCCTTTTCTCCCTGTTCCAGTAAACCTTTAGCGATAGCAAGCATCAAGCTCTGGGACACAGAGAGGCGGGGTGTCATTATTAATCATGGTCAATGAAAAATAGGTTTTATTTTAAATCATACTGTACCTTTAGATGATGCTTGCGACTCGAGGACATCTTTTTCCTGAGGTGTTTTGAAATTTTGAGATCAATCAAATACATTGTGTAAAGCAATAACTAATAACCACAAGACACTTTTTTCACATTATTATTTTATATTCAACAAACACGAACATAAAAAATATACCACCACAGCAAACAATTTCTGTTAGTTTATGAAGATGATTATTATCTAAAAAGGGGAGATCAAAATATTTAGGCTACTTACTCCGACATCTTGGCTGAATTAAATGTTTGCCTTCTGTGAAATAATTCACAATTTACAATTAATAAGGCACTGGTAAAATGACAGTATGCAATTAGAGTAAAAATGATATATTTTTATCAGCAAAGAAAAAGGACTGTGCATGTGCTATGTAAAATGGGCTTTGTTGGTGTTTAAGATTGTAAGGTTTAATAATAAATAAATAAAAATTTAAAACTGTTAATTTAAGAACATTTTATTCTTTTCTCACCATATATTCCGTTTCCCAGTGGCTAGCATATTTTTCCAATTGTTTTCAATGGGAGCAACTATGGGTTTTTTAAGATAGCAGCAGTGTGACGAGGTGCTGAACATTATTTTCACACTCAGCATTTGAGCGACAACAAACGATAATAACAAGCACATCTCTTCATCCAAAACTAGTGCCAGAGCAATTACGTTACATTGTGTTGACATTTTTATATTCAGAAACAAACTATGTGCGAAATCAGATACTAGTAACAGTTCTGTGGATATTCCATAGCACATTTGCCATCTCAACTGAAAAAAACGTTGCGCCGCCGAAGCGTTCTCAAGCACCCACAGCAAGCATTTTCATGAAAGCATTGGCATTTTCAGCTGGCTGACACACGGCCTAAGAACAGGTGAGGAACTGATGAGTAGCTATGGAAACTAATAATGACCAGGAACACAGACAAAACAGGAACAGGGAAAAATAAACCAAAACACAATGAAACTATATATCCCTGAAAATTCTGTGATACTAACTCCCATATTATATTATATTATTTTTATATTATATTATATTAAATTATATATCGTTTAAATAAATGTGTCAAATAACATTAAACTTAATTTAATATTTACAACATAAATGTCCCTAATAGGATAACAAAAGTATATAATAATTAGTTAAAAACGGGGCAATTATCAACTGTCTATTCTTCTTCTGTGTCAGGATTACTTTTAGAATGCAAATTGCAATGCCAGGTCGAAAGTTTGACAATGAGTACCATTGTGATAATGTGAGTAAATATGTAGTAAAGTCCTTTACATTTGAACAATGCTAATACCCCAGATTTAAGCCATAGCATTATTGTCTAAAGCACCAAAGAGATCCCTGAGGTTGATTTTAGACACGCCAGCTGAAGTGTTATTTATTTATTTTAAGATTCGGTCTTGACAGCAAGATAAACATTGGCATATCACCCTCTAGTCCTAACAGCCGCAACGAATCGAGTTTCCAAATAGTGCAGTGATTTTTCAATAGCAGTTTTTTTATATCCCAACAAGAATACAGATTTAATATCCCATGACAAATAAAACCAGATAAGTGATTTCCCAACAAATCAATCCAAGTCTGAACAAACTTTTCTTAAAGGTTCTGAAAAATGATATTATGCACAAACTACTTTTCTCAAATTATGCTTACAAAATGGAAAATAAACAAGCAGCAAAAACACCTTTCAAATGCATCACAAATAGCTAAATTTGGTTACAATCTTAAATTCCACAAAAAAAAAATCATCTGTCAATGTAAAAAAATTATACAGTGCAGTTGGTCAAGATTCACCCAGATGCTATTACAACATTAACAATAGGATAATGAAAGGAAATAGAGAAAACAGCATCTCACCTATGAGCTGAGGCACACGCAGCCAAAAGAATGGAGGAAGAATGGGTCTCTGCAGGGAGCGGGCATCATAAGTATATATTGTATTCCCCTATGACCAAGGAAATCCCATCTCTCTTTTTATGGTAGTAGATCCATTCAGAGAACCAATAGAACACACACACCTGAAACACAATATCAAATCCCTCATCTCCACCCGAACCCCGTCCATATAAATAACCCCTCTTTAGATTGTGCAATTTATTTTTAATCTAACAAACTGAAGCCCACACATTAGGCAGTGTTCATTAACAGTTTTCTAAGTTAATAAAAAAAATGCATTTGCAAAAACAAAACAAAAAATATTGTATTACATCTTTTATAATATTAAAAAATAAATACAATATCTTATTAAACCTTCCCTTTTCAAGCAACAGGAATGGTGCCCCAGAAACGAAAAATGTTCTGTTTCCAAATTTGCCCAAGTCTGACAAATGAACCGAAAGGAATACTGCGATTTGATCTCTTTCTTGGCTTTCTGAGCAAAGCCAGGCATGCCTAGAAAGATGGAAACACTCTTTTTTTATTCCTGTTTATGGAAGTGGGTTCCAGCCTAGACCAATAAGCCACTGAGCTGCATAGATGCATAACATATCTGTGAGAATATATATAATTAAAGGGTTACATAGCAAAATAATGAGATATTTCAGCATAAAAAAAAAAAGTATTTTAAGTTACTCACCAATCACTATACAGCAAAAGAGGAGATCTCCATAAATATGAGTTGAAATGCCACCCATATTTCTTCCGGAAGTTGTGTACCGATCAAATTAAAGTAAATTGCCACCCATATTTCTTCTGGAAGCTGTGCACCGACCAAATTAAATTTCAGCACTATAGTATTTATTCATTACAGTCAAAAACAAAGCACTAGTCAAAAGAGTCTAAGGGAGTGAAAGAACCAAAACATGTGTAATAAAACAAACAAAAAAGGGATTTTCCTCCAAAGCATTCATTTAATGGTCGTGGCTCAGCGATGATACACAATTCTCTTTCAGGACATATACATACTACATGAAACAAATGCTCATTTGAGGCATTGAAACTATGGCAAAAAAAAAAGATAAATGATTGCATAGCACTGACAAATTCCTAAAATAATTAAACAAAAAAATGTCTGGGAATTTAGGCCTCGCCCTCAAACATCTTCTTCCTGCCGCCCATACCGGCCTTGTCCTCAACGTTCTTACGCCAGTCGCCGACATCTGAAGTCTGGATTATGAGAGAGGAATTGAGTGTGAAGGAATGGTAGTTCAATTAACCAAAGGCCTGTATACTGTGTACATATCAGGGCTGTCAACGTTAATGCGTTTAAGCATGCAATTACCGTAATTAAAAATTATGCATTACCGCATTAAAATAATTATGTGGTAACCTTGGTAGCACGCACAGTTGACGCATTAACGTCACGCAATTAGATGATCTTAGAAGTCAGGAGTTTTTCAGACCGACTCTGAGGATCTACAATGGCACAATAACCTGTAACCCTCGTAGGCGGAAATTTCTATTCTAACCCTTTAATCCGATTTCGCTTCTCTGTCTGCGATCAGATCATTTTAGGCCATTAAGAAAGTTTTCAGTCCAATTATCCAATTAGCGAATGCATTGAAACAATCAGCACTAATGTAAAGAAAACCAGGCTGATTACATCAAAGATGGCAGAGAGAAAAGAGACTCAGTGAATTATTCATTCCAGTGTCTGTTCCAAACGCACATTGTTTTTATGCACAGACACATTTCAGTACATTCACGTCCTTCTGAATGGATCCGTGTACTGTAGTGTAGTAGGCATATAATGTAGTCAGGTCAAGGCCGTTGGTTTAGGGATTTTTATTTATTTTTTGTCATCTCCATGTGGTTCTGTTCAGTATTGCAACTTGACATCTCTAAAACGTAAACAAGCTCTTTGCTGTTGCACTGTACACATACTGTATGCTGAACTCTAAAAAGTTTTGTTCTGTAACTTTTTTTTTTTTTCGTGTGTGCTTCAGTGTGCATACATTTATGAATTAAGCTATATGGACTGTTTATATCATTTGGTTATTAGGTGTCCTTTTGGAGTCTCCAAGTGTCCTTTTTGGGACCATTTACCATGAAAAAAACTTGCAGAAAATGCAGTTTTGTGAAAATCATCCTTCAATCGGATAGTTAATTTAGCTGGATATAGCAAATGATGAGAAAATGAACACGTTAAAGAATATTAATCATGATTAAAATCTTAATCTATTGACAGCCCTAATATTACCTTCTGTAGAGCTGCTTTACAGCTTAAATTTAATTTGTTTCATAATTGAAGCATTTTACAACATTAACACTGTTTATTAATGTAAAGCTGCTTTGAAACAATCTGTATTGTATACAATAAAATGCGACTTGTATAAATAAATGTGACTTGACATAAACCAAAGGAAGACACAAAAATGCATTAACTACTTACTCATTTTCAATATCAATAAACGTATTTATTACAGCAGTAAATCATGAGAACTCATCCAGCATGATTTTTGCCATGGTTAACGGTTGATAAGAGCCTCTAATGGCTTATTTGTTTTAATAATAAATATTATTTTGTATCATATTTACGGGATAAGTGATACAAATATTTATATTATTGTTTATGTTCACCTATGCTACAAGCAATGAGCGACTTGAGGCCAGTTAGGGGGATTTACCCATGGTAAAATCACTAATGCAATGCCTCTTGGTGCTTCTTGGATTTAGATAACTATTCACATCTCCTCTGTACTTTAAGCAAAAAGGAATACGGTAGTCACAGGATCATATTTCACTCACCTCCTCTTTGACCTCCTTCTTGACTTGTTTCAGGTTGGCTCTCAGATCCAGAGACACCTTGTGTTTGGAGCCCAGAAGAGCCCCAAGCATCTGATCGGCAGACATGCGCACTTTCTTCAACGCGGGTTTCTTGAACTTGCCAATGAGGTCGACCACCTTGATCTTCAGATCTTCAACCTATACACACATTAGACTAGACTCAAAACGGACCTCAGAGAACGTCTCGGATTTCGACTGTAACCCTGGCTCCCTGAGGAGGGAACGAGATGCTGCGTCGAGACGCTGTGGTAACGCCTCTGCATGATTGCGTCATGAAGCACGTATGAAATCAGTCCAATGGTGTGACGGAACGTCATGTGACGACATTGACAAGGAAACTATAAAGCATACCTGAACAAACAGTCACTAGCTTCTGATAGGCTGAAAGAAGTCGCTCACAGGCATGCGGGGAGTATGGAAGGGCAACGCAGCGTCTTGTCCCTCCTCAGGGAACCAGGGTTACAGTCGTAACCCAAGACATTCCCTTTCAAGGGAACTCGAGCTGCGTCAAGACGCTGTGGGAACACTATACCCACGACACCAT